CATAAAGACCTGACCTCCTTTCAAGTGTGACTGCAGCCAGGTATGCCCTTCTTAAAGTGCATGTTATTTATTTCCCTCCCCTTGGAAACAGAAACTTTTATTTTTAGGAGGAGTGTATGTTCAGGATCTCCTTTCTTCTCTGCACCATGCCCCCCGCCCCAAACCCTGCTCATAATTATCGTCTCACCAATACTATTTTTCATCATCATCTTCAAGGTTTTTGAGTGATTTACTCTGTCCCTTCCTACTATTGACTTGAATTGTGTGTTTCTTGTCATCAGAACCTAACTATATCTTAGATTTGCATTGAATTGAAAGATCCTTTCCTTTCCTTATTGATCTCAACTTGTGGAATAATTTAACTGGATTCCAATTTTCCTTTGCAAGTGAGGTGCTCTCCATCCATGGAAGTGAGTTATGTGTGTTCAAGTGGTGCATCTTATGAATCTTGTTAAGCTCTGCCGCCTTAGAACTCCACTGATGGAATATTTAATCACAGAAATGAGTTGGCAGATATGATATACAGTGTGGTTAAGCTTTGCAGCAATCTTAGCAGCAATTGAGAAACAGATGAATTTGCCATTTGTCAGTACCATGTCGACATCTTTGTATAACCCTCTGTTATTTATTTTTATTTTGTTTTACTTATTTATGAAGATTAAAGTTGCTTCCGATCAACAGCTTCCTGGGCTAGATATCATGATTATCTCTCAAAGATACCACTTTGTAAAAATCTTTTTTATTAGCAAGCAAAGGGAATTTCTCGAAAAGACAGGGAAACTGTAAGAATCCCATTGAGCCTTCTTTATTGAGATTCTTAGAAACACTATTTCTTATTACATTAAATAAGTTGAAGCATGCTACTGGGAATAGATATTTGTAGATACTCTACCTCTATTTAGGACCTTCAATTTTCTTTAAATTCTAAAATGGAATGGCCATAGATAGAAGCTAAAGCCTTTGAGACCTACCTGGACTCTTTAAAATTGACCTAACAATCTTTTGTCTTGAGAATAAGCCTCAAGGAATCTGAAGATGATAAGACTTAAGAAAAATAATCAATGCTGTTTAGTATAACAGGGAAACACCCACTTGTCTTTGTAGAAGATTTATATATGTTCGTGGGATTAAGCTGATTTATGTATATTTGCTTTTGGAGATTGTGATGGATAAGCATTTCAAAGACTTCTTCCAGGTCTGACTTGATGAGAGTTCAGAAGAACCACCCTGAATGAAAGACCTTCCATAACAGCTTTCTAAATGCTTCCTCTGGAATGTGCACTCGAGGGAGAGTGCATGTCATAATTTATCAAAGCAAATTAATACTGTTCAGCTAGTAATTAAAGATCCTCATTAAGAGGTGCAACTGCTCTCCCCACCCCCACCCTGCATTAGCAATAAAAATGCACTCAGGGCGTCAAGAGGTTATATAGAAAAATCAATAACCTGCCATTTTATAATTAAAACAGAAAATAAATGTTAGGGAAAAGACCACTAAATTAGGAAAATTACCTTTAGAAGAGATTGAAAATATCGATTTTAATTTACAAAATATGTGAACTTTTCATGCCCCATTCTGAGAGACAATTGGAGGCTGGGTTGTTAATTCTGCATAAGCTTCAGAAAGTCAATAATTATACTATGGGGATATTATGATATGTGTCATTAACACAAAATCTTATATAGAGAAATAGTTAATAAGTCTGGCTTTCTCTCTCAGGCAGATACAGGGCTGGCCTGCTAAATATCCCTAGCAAATCAATGACAGGGTCTTCATTTCAGCCTTGAGGCATATTCAAAACTGTAGAATGCATCCAGAATATTTTTATACCTGGGGAAATTTAAAATGCCCCCGAAATTTTTAGTCATGAGTATTTAAATGTGTGACATTAGTAATTATACCTGGTTATAGCAATGGATACGTTCTACAGATACATCTTTACATATACAAAGACAGACAAGAGTGGGTTTACAGTTGTGAGTATACAAAACAGTTTATTCTTGTGTTATTATTTGTTAATTATTATGTTATCTATTTGTATTACAATTGTGAACCTACTTTTGCCCATGCCTGTATGCATTCCATGGATACAGGTGACTGAAACTTTAGACTTAAGCTAGCTGGAGTCTCAGTGTCCACATGTCTTCAAATATTTCAAAGGAATTGTTCTGGAGTATTGAATTTGCAGTAATATTTCCTCACATTTCTCAATATCACAAACTCTGGCAAAAAAGGGAGAGCTTCTGATTAAGGAGAGGCCCGATACTGACAACTGAAAACTCGAATGCTCAGATTTCACAAGTATCACTTACTTATCCATGACCCATTTTTTTAAGTTTTAAGTGTTTTGGAACAACTCATAGAAATAATCATTTGGTTGTTCAAATTCCTTAAAGCTTCCCCTGACACAACTAGAAAACATGTTTCAATATGGTGTTGGTGGTGGAAATAATCCAAAACAATTATCTGACTTCCCCCTCTTCTTTAATTTGACTGGTCTAGAAGTATGGCCCACTATCATAGGGCACAGTCAGTAAGAATTAGGACTTTTAATATTCATAAAAGATAAGGCAGCTGTGTAAGCTGGTGGTAAAGAACCCAGCCTCTTGATTCTAAATTCTAGCTGGCTTCTTATCGGTTATGCAGTCTTAGGTCCATGATGCAAACTCCTTCAACCTTAATCTCCACACTTGGAAAATTGCCACGAGGGTTTAAACACATTAATTTAGGTACAGTGCTTAGAACAGTGTCTGACCATGGAAAGTACTTGGCCCATATCAATCCTTATTGAAACGTATTCTTTCTCTGTAGCCCAGTAATTTAACAGCTGAGGATGGGCCCAGGGCTAAATTAAATCGCTGTTCTGAAAGTTACACAGATTAATTTATTCTGGTACATATAAATTAGTCTGAATTGTTTCTTCCGTCTTAATGTTCTCTTAAACACCCACAGATATGCATATAGGTTTAAAATCACATGTGAAAAAGATATTTGGTGTTTTCCTGATTGCCAGAGACAAAAATGCCCAACTACTTTGTATGGGACTGGAAAAATGCACTTTCCTTACTCTATTACAATACATGCATTCATATCCTACCTCCCCATCAGATGACATCTTTTTCTTCTTGTTTCTGACCCATAATTTTGGGAAGAAAATGTGTACACAGGCATGCGGGCATACACATATCTACATCATATACACAGAGAACCTGCCACCTCTTTACTCCAACTACTCCATTTCACTGGGGAGGATCTGCAGGTACACAGAAGGTGCTGTCCAACAGTCTCCTTGTACCTTTGGACAATTTCATTTCTTTGTAGCTTTGGACAAGGTTGTACCCCAGCAACATCTGTGACCTCTGAATAGGCTGTCTTACCTCTGGTCCCAGAAATTAACTTCCCTCAAATGGACATGCTGAGAATGGAAGGACTACTCTTTTCATGATATAAGAAGAGAATCTCCTAGTCTAATAGTTCACTCACAATTCCCCAGCATCAGGTCTTGGTTAACTTTCCTGTTATGGCAAAGAGGTAGGATATTAACTTATTTATTTCTATTTACCCAATGTTTATATGGTTCCAGCAAAGCACCAAACAGCCTTCATATATTAAGCCAAGTAATTCTTATAAATACCTGTGAGTTCATTACTATTATCATCTCCCATTTAACAGATGAAGACACTGAGGCACAGAGAGGTTAAGTAACTTGCCTAGAGTCACACAGCTGGCAATCAGGGATCCAGTATTTGAACCCTGGGTGCAGTATCCACATTGCTCACTCTGTAGGTGTCCTGTTAGGATATGGGTTCCACCATATGATCATAAGAAGCCTTATAGCGATGTCTCTCCCCACTCATAAGAGTCAACACTGCTACTACACAGTCATAGACCCCTTGCACTTAACCCAGACTTGTGGTAAAATTCACACATGAAGAACAACTACAAACATCATCTACCTAAAATCCAGAATGCATATTGAGCTTTCCCAGATTTACTTTTTTTTAAGAACATCAAGTTGGTTATTATGATAAATAGCTGTTTAAGTTTCCTATGATCTTCTGTCATCCACTAGGGTGGATGCTTAGTATCAGGACAATGATAGTAGTAAGGCATCCCAGAAGAGAAAAAGCAAGGGATATGACTTAACCCTTGGATAGACCAATTGGTCATTTCTTTCTCCTTATTAAAATATAAAGGCCACATCAAGAAAGACCTCTTTTCAATATCCATGGGGCAAATCTACTAAGGTTCGCAGGTGTTACATGCAGCCTTATTAATGACCAAGGACACGACGGGCAGAAGTGACAGACCAAGCCTAGCAAACATCTCAGCCACTGTTGCTTCTGGGTTACTCCCTCTCCAAATTTGATGATCAAGTTTTCTGTGACTGGATTTCCAACTGAGTAGTTGTTGTGGTACAGGCAGGGAAGTGGTAAAGAGATACATCATTGAAGGCAAAGCAGAGAGAAATGGAATTGCTAAAGGAAATTGATTAATGGAGAAAAAAAGACAGTTTAGTTTTCTCCAGTTTTCTAAACAGTTTTTATTTTGGAAATTCAAACATGGCCACATTATTGGAATAAGTAGTCCAGTTCTCTGCTTTGCTAAGGAAAAAATGCAACCCCAAATGGAAATGTGTGACTAAAAAAACACATCCAGGTATACTGACATAAAATGGGCATGAACAGCTCTACACTTGTTCAATTTGCTCTTGAACAAAGCTTCCACACTTTTTAAAGGCAAAATCAATGGGAAATGTCATTAGGAACAATGGCTCAATGCTTACTCCATACAAATTTACATGATACCCCCTTATTTTTTGAAAGGGTTTTAAACACTTTTGATTTTGTCAAAAAAAAATAACTTAGAACTTCTTAGGATAAAGATTTACTTGGCTTTGTTTTTTTTCTTTTTTTTTTAACAATAGTTATTCTTTATTGCCAGGCAAAGCACATACAGAAAAGACTAAGAAGACATCATGCAAAGGGAAATTCTTTACCTGCATAGAATTCGGGACTGTAGACTGCACCCACAACTGGATTCAATTTCCAGCCTTGAAACAGATATACAAAAACATTAATATCACCTTTGATTCAGCAACTAATATCATTGCAAATTAACTGCACATCTAATGGTTTGGGTTTTTTTAATTTTAAAATTCAGAAAATATATAGTTTGGGCATATATAAAAATTATTTGAAAACTCTACATAGGGGGACAGATTTATTCCCTTCATTAATTTTCTGCCTACACAAGTTAATAGTATGGAAGCTACTGACCAGCTATAGGTGAACCTTTTGTAAATGATGTGGTAATTAATTTCCTCCCATATCAATATTTTTAGAGCCACTATAATAATTTCAGTTTTTTATTCTTTCATGGATCACTACTAAAATAATACATAATATGTGTTTGTGTGTTAGGGTCACAAGAGTTTGAAAGCTCACATGAACAGAATCTTTGCAGCAACATTTTCTGATAATTGTCATTTGTAATTATGACCTAGAGACTAGAATTCCAAAATGCTTTTTAAGTCCCAAAGAAAATGACATTTATCCAGTAGAAATTTAGTGTGGAATACATTTCACTGTCTGCAGGAACCATAACGATGCTTGATCAATGCAGGATATCTAGGGTAAATTTCAAATAACCTGTATATAAGATGAACAGAATCCTGTAATTTTCCTAAAGTTCTGTGAAACAAATCCTGGACCTTCAAAAACGTTTACTCAAGAAAAGAGCCTAGGAGAACACTTGCAAAGCAAGAAACCTCCCATATTAAAGACTCATTGGGTACTATTTAAGGAACATTCTCAGAAGAATGATCATGTTTTAGGGTTTGGCGATCATTTCCTGCTCTCGCTGGCACGTTTTTATGAAAACATCCATTTTATGGAATTCCTTAAAGGGAATGAAAGACAGGTGTGTTGCCTTTAGGTGAAAAACCTGTGTCCTTGGGCTGAGGGTCCAACACTGGAGGTCCTTTAATAAATGCCCCTGAGCAAAAGCAATGGTGAAAGTTGGGTTGTGTGGGAAGGTATTTCTGATGAGAACCCTCCGAGCTCTTTCCAGGAAGGAAGAGGTGTGATATCCCAATGTCTGACCTAAGTGATATGCCTGTAAGAACAGCTGGGAGTAGCCACTATCTACTGATCCACTAAGAAGCTCCATATCCCAATAGATATGCCCTGGGTGGACCTAAGGACTTTCTATAATATTCTGAGATGATTGGTTTCTATGAAACTTTTTGTTCCAACTTTAAGGTTTACCATCCCCATAATGTTCTTAGGGTAGAGTTTTTTGGAGGTTGTCTTTTAATTACTTGGGAGGCTTATTAATGAAAAATCCTTAGCCATGTTTTAGACCTATACAGAAAAGGACATGAAATTCTGAGAGCTATTTTCCCAATGGTTTCTTAAACTTCATACTTACAACTTCCTCTCTCATATTAACCACATCCTGTGTTATAGGAATTTCTGTAGTGATATAAAAATAAATATTACCCCCAAACATTTCAGAATGTATTTTCTATGAAGGTGGAAATGACTTCAATTTGATCAACTGAAATTCTACTGCTTCTCAAATAAGAAAATGCCCAATTTATGAGGAGCTGGAAACTAATGTTTACATTTTGAGTTATTTGAAATTTGAGAGAAAATGGAGCAAACTAGTTGAAAATAAAACTACAAGGTTATCTAAACACATTTGGCATTCTCTGTCTAGTCCTTAATAGAAGTCAAGAGTTTGTGAAAGAAACCTATATGGAGCTATATTAAATTAATTACTAATTGATTAATTTATTACCCCTTCTTCCCTCTTATACCCTGCTTATGCCCTACCTTTCACTGGTAGTGGAGAAAGGGTCTTTTTAGCACTACTCAAGTAGAGTTTTGTTTCTTGTATACATCCTTATTAGCTGTCTTAAATTTGCACACAAAGCTGGAATACACCATTCATTGACTGTGGACCCATTGATTAATTTTGATATAAACTGTCAAAGATAAGTTATGCCAACGGTCTTTCATTTTTCTCAGAGATTTTTCAAGAGGTATCTAAGATGGCCTAAAAATTATGTTTCTCTCATATGCTTTTATCTTCCTCATTTCCTTGAGCCAAATAACCTTTTTCCTATTTCTACCTATCTATATCCCTCTAATCTCTCTCTTTTTCATCTATCTATCTAGATTGATCCATTAGCTCTTGACAACTTTGACCTGACGTGATTTAGGTCTCCAATGTCTGCCCCCGAGAATGTACTTAATGCCACCCCCCCCCCATCCCTCCTTTGAGCTACTCTCTGATTCAATTCCCAGTTTTGTTTCCTGTATAGCTGTTAACACTACCTGGGTTTATCTTTTTTCTTTCTCTGCTTGTTCTTAATTGTTTTTATTACCATCTCCTTTATTAAAATTAATGATAAAGTGAGTAGGTCTGTCATCCGATGTGAATTCCCAGCAACTAAAACTGTATTTGGTGAAAAGTTGGTGCTCCATAAATATTTACTTAGTTTTGCTCCAAAGGAACTGAAGGAATATAAAGCTTTTTCTAATAGACTCATTTCCTTTTTGCTAGGATTCTGTCTTCTTCCAACCTCCAATGACCTGCTTCCTGGTATACATCTAATAAAGAAGGACCCTGTTAGGGGTGACTGTCTTCAAGAGAAAGGCAATAAGAATATAGCCTTGAAAATCACTTCTGTTAAGACTTACAAAGCTCATGCAGGCTTATGTAAATGTATGCAAATCACATGCAAATAGAATTCTAGTCCCTGTAACTCCATCTACTACCTGGAAGAGACCCTTGGGATAACCCTGCTGGAGACAGGAGCCTGCACTGTCAGGAAGACGGACAAAATGATCCCAGTTTTAATTTCTCAGGCAGTTTGTGTACATCCCCAGGCCCTACAAATTCACAGATTTTGATCAAGGACATTAAACTGAACAATGAGGCTTACAACAAAAGGAGAACAGCTGATAAAGCCCACTGCTCCAGGCCTCCTGGGCCCCCCCATAAAACAAGGCAGTGGAGCAGAGAACAGACATGTGGGGGTCTTTCTCCATATCAGACACAGGAGTTCTTTAGAAAGACCCCTCTGTGGCTGGGCCTGGAGGGGCTGCATCAAAATCAGTGCTCCCATCCTCAAATTTAACTTCTCAAATGTCATCAGCCAGCTTTCTTAAAAACACTGGCCAAGATCCCTGGTATTACTTATGGCTCTAAAATGTGTTAAAAGGCAAGTCTCGATGTGCACACTCACATAAACACCTGCACAGACCTTTGCTAGGGCTTTATTGGGTTAGATATTGAAGAAACACTTTTAAGAATGCACCCTTAAATACACCACAGGGGGTTCTGAAACTGCACGTTAATATTTTCTAAAGACAAGTACTGAGGGTGCCAGGGCCCCGTCATCGAAATAGTGCACAAAGCAATGCCCAAAATGAAAAGTTAGTGTCAGGCTGTGTTTGGTTCACTCAGTATTTTTATTTTTATTTTTATTTTTTTGCCACATATATTTCTTATCAACATTTAGATTTCATTTGAAATACAGCGTTTTTGTTTTCTTGAAACATTAGTAGAAATGGCCACTTTGGACTGCTGGGGGGTGCCCAGAGCCCACCCCATGAAACTCCCAGTTAGTCACAATCACCATTGCTCCCTGTGGTGTGGCTGGCTCGCCGGCTAAATGCCAGCAATCTTTTATTGTTACCCCGTGCTGTTTGTTCTTCTGGTAGAGAAATACCTTGCTTTTCCTAGTATGTAAATGAAAGATAGTCTAAAAGACAAAGTTTATCAGACCTTCTCTGTTTGCTTATTTATTTTAGCTGTCCAGCCTCCACTGGCATTTGAATATTTGATCTTAAACTGGCATGTCTGTCAGAATTCAACTTACTACCTATAGCGAAAGAAGAACAAGATGGCTATTTTTTATTGAGATTATTATGTAATTAAGTTTTTAGGGCACTCTGTACTCTGGCACTGTGTTGAGTACTTTACCTCCCATAATAGTGACAAATATTCTTTGTAGGAGGACTTATTGTGTCTGCAATTCCCACTTGAGAAAAGTGGTGTGTGGAGAGTTTAAACAACTCACCTATTGTTCAAAGGCAGAGCTGATACAAAATCTACCTCTTTATGTAGTATGGGATCTCTTTGTCCAGTTTTTAGCCTTCCTAAGATCCTTAAGAAAATAAAAGAGCTCCATCTAACACCCACACTTCTCCGACATCTAGGAAATCGCCAAGAATCTGTTTCCCAACTTGTTTTGCAGAGCAAACATTTGATCTCCAATGAGCACAGTAAACCCCAACTCCTGAGTTTTGGAATTCCCAGGAAAATTAGCAATATAGAAGTAGCCCAATTTTCTCTTTGTGGAGCTTTCTGATGGGATCTCCAAATCTCTATATGTTATTCTATAGTCTTCTCTTATATCCAAGTTAAAATGTCCTGGAAAATAGAATATACATTCTCTATGATAGTATTAACTGTGGTCCTCCATCCCATAGCCAATCTTATTAATCACTGGAAAGTCTGCAGCTACTCAAACTTTTGTTGGATACATGACTAAAGGAATGCAAAACTATGCTGTTGACATTGATAGTTATATTTCATCATTTGAAGATGACCTCAAAATGTGATGACTCTAGTAACATTTAATTTCGCTGAGGTGTAAGTTTTATGGTTTTTCAGAATGAATTAGATAGCTAATGAATCTCACTGATCACTTACTTTTCTCATTTTAATGTGACTTATTGGTCCTGACTTTTTTCTTCCAGCTTCATTGAGGTGTAATTGATAACTAAAATTAGTACATATTTAAGGTATGTAACTTGATTATTTAATATACATGGACTTTGTAAAGTATTTGCCACACTCAAGCTAATTAATATATCCATCATTTCACAATTACCACTTTCTTTTGTGTGTGTATGTGGTGATAATATCCCTTCTTGGTATAATCAGTCTTGTTAAAGATCTCAGAGGGTCTCTGTCTTTCTTCAGTTAAGTTTTATTGCAATTTATCAGAAAATGTCTTTGTAGTGATGATACTCATGAACTAAAAATTGGAAAAGCTTTGAGAACTGCTTTTTTTTAAATACCAAAAGTTTTTGAGAACTCCAACTGCTTTTATCTAATTAGGATTTACATTTGCTTTTTCAAGTCAGTTCTTTTATGACTGTCCTATCGACCCCTTAGGTACTATACTCAGTCCCTGCATCAGGATAAGCTTCTGAGTGGCCTCTTTCAGATCCATGCATGAGAGACTCACAGGGCTCATTTCTGGAAACTAAGAATGAAATGCATGACTACCTGGAATGGGATGTGGGGTGTTTATGCCAACACCTGGCAGGAAATTGGGGTCCACATTTAAAAGCCTTTTTCTTTTATTGTAGCCGGTTGCTATTTGAGTGCAGTCTTGTAAGATGAGAGGGAAAGTGATACACTCTCACACACACAGGCCTGGCCAGGAGGAGATCCTGTTACTTCATAACAAAAGAAAATGACTTCACTAATAGCTTCTTCCTTTCTAGCCCCAGTTTTTGCACCTTTAAAATAGGAATCACTATTTCCTCTTCACAGAATTTCATGTGGGCCCAGGGTATTTATTATGCTCTACATAGCACCATACAGTTAGTATTCCAGAAATGTTGGCTATTAATGAATGTGCTTTGAATTGTGTGCAAAATCCCACAGGTCCAGTTTTTAGCCCCTGGGTATGACACTGATCAATAACTCTTTCTTTAAAATAAATATGCATACATATGGCTTAAGGAATAATATTTAGCTTCCCTACTTCATTTTCTCTCATACACAGTACACACGCGCACCCATGCATATGCATGAAAACATGCGCACCCACGCACATGCTTACTAGTGTATAATTTTTTTAAATGCCCAATACTCAGGGTGATGTCATCACATACTAACTCTGACAAGTTGCAGAGCTGTCATTTTACCCAAGTAGAAAGGCTTCATGACACATAAATCAGAGGTGGCTTCATTTCAGCACTGGGCATCCAAAGTCTGTTGTGAAATTTTCCTATTCCATTTAAGGCTATGTCTTGGGTTGTTGGAGCTGGAAAAATGGGTCAGCAGAATAAATAATTCTTCTGGACTTTCAACTTAGAGCCCTATTATATTGAGATATATCTATCTTTAATGGTGTCCCTTTTAAAAATAAGAACAAACTGACTTAGCCAGATTGGCAGCCACTGGCACAAGAAAGAAGGAAAACAAAGACAAAACTACAGAATGGTAATGATTATAAAGAAAAAACAAACTTAAATCAATCAGTGTAAAAAGTCAGAATAAATCCATATATCCATGTATGGAATATTTTGTAACCACTAAAAAGGATGAACTTGGTCTATATATACTAACATTGAAAGAACTACATATGGACTTATGAAAACCAATTAAAAATTATCTATTTATACACCATGATACTATTTATATAAAAGCATGTATACAATAATGCTGATGCTGTAAACAAATACTCCATATATATGCATAAAATACAAAATAAAAGTATAGACAATGATCTGTAATAGTGGCGTCCTCTAAGGAGGAAGATAGAAAACTAAGTTGGCAGTGGTGTCATTCAGAATATATTTAGCCTTTTCTTTAATGTTTCTTTCTTTTTGCAAATGATTCTATATTTCCATGTTTTATATATAATTAAAATGTTAAAAATGGAAAAGTCAGTACTTTCCCCTTATGACAGTAATAAAATTATATTATTCTTAAAAACCTATAAAACACAGAAAAATATCTTTCAGTATCACAATTCAACTAAACCATTAGCATTTTGGTATAATTTCCATCATAATTTAGTTCAAATCATGTTATACATATAATTTTTAATTTGAAAAATTTTCATTCATTATGGGGCTCTTTCAGTCTTTACTCAGCTCATTTTAATGGGTATACTATTCCACTAAGCACATATACTTTAATAGTGTCTTACTTTCTTTATAATTTTTGATACAGTGAAGTATGTGATCAGCATATCAGCAGCTTTTCTCCCTATATATCTTACAGGTTTACCCTGAGGAGGATTAAAGAATCAAAATGTTTGAACATTTTTCATGACTCTTTATATATATACACACACAAGCACACACACATATATATAAAGATATATATGTGTATGTATATGAATTCATGTTATATATGAATTCATAGTGTGGGGAGTGTTGCAATATCTTGGTTAGGAAGGGTTGAAATGAATTGCCCTGAGGGGTCATTGACACTGGGCAACCCAGAGAGTAAGAAATAACGCACTCACTCATTCTGCTGTCACCACAGAGCTCATCAGGACGTGCCCCCCAAGCCACTTCCCAAGATGACTCAAGGGAGGAACTGAATTCTGCTGCCACACATCCAGGTATGATTAGTGATCAGTGAGGAGGTGGTGGTTAAAAAAAAAAACCAAACACCTCCATTCTCCTTCAACTTGCTATTAGAACAACAAATTAAATTACCCAACTAATTCCCAAATAATGACTGTATCTCTCCCCCAAGTGGGAATTATCCTAGAGAGATTGGAAGAAAGGTGTACACAGTTAACCTGAAAACTAAACCCACCTCTGTTGTGAAAATTATCTTATTGATTCAGGTGGTTAACTGTAGCAGGGCAACAGTCTCTATGCTAAGGCAAATATGGCTTGTTGAAACAGATTCCCTAGTTAAATTACTTAACAGATTCAGAGGCAGAGGCGATTTCTTGTAAGAGGCCAACGTGTACTTACCATTTGTGTAAGGGTTGACAGTCTTTTTATTTGTCATTACACGTGCTGTGGCATTATTTACCTATGTACACAGAAAACTCAAATGAGCACATATTCTGGGGTCAGCCCACAGTTCAATTAGTTGCATGCATTATGACTGTGATTACTTATTAAAAAAAACTAAAATGCATTTTAATTTATAAAAGGCAGTAGGTGCACAACAGAATCATACATTTTTATAATTACATTTACTTCATAACCATTTTAACTTACAAATCATTTCAATAAAGCAATGTCATATCATTTAAAAGTTTAATAAGGAGACAGTAAAAGCAAATTAAAAGAAACTGCATAATTGAAGATTTAAAAGCATGCGTGTACTCCATGGTAACACAGAAACAATATTTTTTAAACATAAAATAAAGTTCATATGAAGGAACATGCAGTGGAGTAGAAGGGAGAGACAAGGTACAAGGGAACATAAATGTCAAAAAAAGGGACAAACAAGTTTTAGCCGTGTGCAACACTTCAAGGGGGAAGAACCATTGGGAATGCAACATCTAGCATTCAACACTTGGAACAAGAGCCTTTTACATCGCAAGAATTAACAAAATCATTCAAGCTTTAAAGTCACAGCTAACAAAAGGATAAAAGAGAGGGTGCATTGTTTAACACAATATGGAGTTAACGATCTGAGTAAGATGTGCACCGGTCATGTCTCAATCCAGTCAGTGCCTCCCAGGCTAGCTTAGAACGTACACTCAATTACAGGCGTACCAATATCCAAAAAAATAGAGCATCAAGAAAACTTAATACAACAAGTCAAAAAATTCACGTGGTATATATATGTATATAGATATATCAGCACTAATACGTGTAACGGCAGATGGACTTCACCACTTACCATTCACCGCCATCGCCAGCATGGGTTTGTATACAGTTACCATGGTTACTGAGAGTTTGGTGAGGGGCCTAAGCGTTATCGTCGAGGGGGAAAATGAAAGGCAAAATATGCAACATCTTACTCCAAAGACTAAAGCATTCATAACTGGTATTTTTTTTAAGTTTTAACAAATATGACCCTGTGGTCATGTTGAGGGAGATCCAGTGGTAGAAGAAGGAGATTCTGAGTACTGGAATTTTAGAGTTTCTTTTATTAGTGAAGAAGGGCCAGATATTGCACAGAAAATCCTGTTTGCTTATTCACTTTATTATCAAAAGAGTATAGAGGTTCAAACTGGCTTCTTAAAAAAAAAATGAAAGGTTTAAGGACAAAACCTCTCATTTTTTTAAAAAAAAACAATTGTTCTTTTGAATGCTATTTCTTTCACAATTTGGCTTAATTTGCACACCACTGTGGATCCCTCGCCAACCCTGCAGTGGAAAGGAAAAGAAAAGAAAAAAAACTGCTCTATATTTCGTTTTGTTTTGTAACACTTGCTCCACTGTTTGGAACCTACTGCACCCATTGACTCTTAAACATGGAAAATAAAAAAATAAAATAAAAACAAAAAATTTTCAGATTAACCTTTTTTTGTCTCACGTTTGCCATCCACCTTTCAGCAGTAATAAGAGTAACATAATAAAATAAAACAAAAAAAAAGTAAGGCCAGTTTTCCTTTTTATATATAAATATAAATATATATATATATATAAACAATGAGAAGGGAACAGGGTCACATACAAGACACAATGATGCATCTGAAACAACGAATGAGCGTGAAGCAGACATTTATCAAAAAGATGTAAAGGAAAATATTTTGAACATGCACCTCGATTTTACGGCCCTCTACCACGGTGCCGTGTAATTTCTCCCTCGCCCTGTCCGCATCGGCACTATTTTCGAAAGTTACGAAACCAAATCCCTGCATGCAGGAGGGAGAAGGGAAAACAACATGCAGATTATTATTTCAGTCAACGACCACTGTGTAATGTTCTCTCGCTTTAATTTCTATGTCTTGTCCTGGCTTCCGTTCTGTAACATGCAAATTAGAGAAATTATAAGAGTACTAAGATGTGCAATCAGTAAGCAACAAATGTGAACAAGATAATTTTTTTTCTGTCACCAGTTAGCTATAACCCCTGAAGAATTCAAAGAATGATACCCAAAATACCTTTCTAAACGTCACTACAGAAGAAAATAAATCTAACGGAAAGAAAATGAGATCAAAATAAATTTACAGTGTCTTCACAGAGAATAAAATGAAATAATGAGAAAAAAAGGGAACCACTTTCTTGACATGCAAATTAAGAGTAAAATAAAATAAAACGTGTGCATGAAATTCAACAATGAATGCCAAAATCTTCTAACATTGCCTACAGAGTCATGCCGTGTGGTTTTAAGAACATCTCTTCTTCATGCAGTTTTAGGGTTATTCAAATTGATCAATTCTACAGCCTTTACTTCTCAAAAATAAAAATTAGAAGCCTACAAAAGGAAAGACCTTTTTTAATAATAAATCTTAACCTCTTGGATCTAATAAACAAAATAATCACATGAAATGAATAGAAATAAACATCAGTTGATCAATAATGCAGACAGTTCAAGTACCTTTTTTGGTATTAATACTTCCTCCCCCCCCCACAAAAAATAACACACATGCTTCTAAGTTTGTCATCTTTGCAGACTACTGTATTAACTAAAAAGGGAAATGAGTAAACATATTATAATGTTCTAACACATTAAGCTGATATTCATTTGTCAATTCAACAGGTAGAAAATAAAGAAGCTTCATTAATAGACTTTTATTCACAATAACACTGGGCACTTCCTCTGCCACTGACAGATGACACATAGACCCTTGACTTCATCACTGGCATATTTTGTGTTAATATTTCAGCCTTATAAACAACCCCACTAAACGTCACATTGTCAAAATCCATCTTTTTTCTTCACTGACACTGTTCCTAAGAAGAGTACAGAAAATACAACACATTATTTTTAAACCCCCTAAAAATATGTGTGCATCTTGTTCAGAAATATACACCAACCTTTTGAAACACTTCCACTGTAAATTTGCCCAGCTTGTTCTGGTTTCCATGGTGTAAGCTGGGTGAAAGAATGCCAAGTGCAGGGATATCTGAACTTTGGGCAAAGGTAAATGCTTGCTTTAAGCTTTGTTGGGAGCAGGAAGATATTCCATTTCACTAAATAATAGACAGTAATTATAAGTAACAGGTAGTCATAACCAACTAGTGTTAACTCCCCATCACTCACTGGGTCCCTAAAGTGTTCTGCAAAGCTCAGGGTGTTTGAGGAGTGTGCCCAATGGTCTGCCTAACAGAGGCCTTTCCCGTACTGACATGGACTCATCTATAGAAGATAGACACCAGCTCTGCATGGGTTTGAGCTAGAGTAGATGACTCTTTGACAGGATACTATAGTGAAGAAATAAAATAAATTTATTTAATTTGAGAGGCTGGACTGAATTACCTTTCATAATATTTTCCATGGTGAGGATCTGTAATTAGGATATATCTGAAATATTTGATTAATATAAGATTATAAGCTCCATAACAGAAGGGCTCTATTTAGGTGGTATACCAATATTCAGTACTCCCATATGTTTACTTGCTAACAAAATAGTTTTGGAATTGCAGCTCTTCAATGAGAAAATGACATCATTTGGGGAGTTTTGCTCTCTTTGATGCCCTTGCCTCTTGGCTAGTGGGTCCCAGGCTTAGTTGCACATCAGAAGAAACTGGGAGCATATTTAAAACTTAGATGCCAAGCCCTGCCACATATCTACCAGCTCAGAATCCCCAAGGGGAGCCCAGAAATCTGTTGAAAAGGCTACTATATTGTTCAGCCATTGGATTCCTATGGCCTCTCACATCACTAAGCACCATCAAAAGAAGACTTCAGTTCTTTGTATGAGGTAGAATATTGTATTGCCGATTTCTACAGAGCAACCTGTAGACTGGGGTGCATTTTGGGGGTGAGGATCTATCTGACAGGGTTATTTCGATCTTATATGTAAGAGTACAGCCAAAATCACATAGCAATGTTCTCTTCCTCACCTATAACCCAAATTCCCTAGCATCTGTAGCCATACTGCCATACATTTAATAATAAATAAAGGAAACCAGGATTCTGGCTGCATCAGGGGCAATTCTCTCAGTTGGCAAGGAAGGAAAATTTCATAATCCAAGTCTCATCGGTGAAGGACTTGGTGGCATGATTGGTGTCTGTGGACACTAGCAGTCATTGTCACCACAGGGCAGGAACAACATGGCCAGGTGAAACTGAACATTCAACCCACCTGCCCAGAGCATCATACCAAAGAACCAAGTTATCATGAATCTAGTCTGAACCCAAGGCAAACCATCCTCACCTAAAATCTGCATGATACATGTCAGGAAGAGATACAGATGGAGATGGAAATATATTTTGAATCCCAAAGAAAGTTCATAAACTACAAAGAAAGATTCCACACCATTCTCAAGTCCTCACTTTGTTTTGAAGTAATGGCAGTACACTGATTATTTTTATTATTTTTGTTACTCTCATTATTTTCTGCTAAACTTCTCTCTCTCTGCATTGCTCAATACTTCTATTTTCAGACTGCTAAGATGATGAGTGGAGTTGAGATTGGGCAAAGTTGGGTTCAAGAACAGTTTGCTCCAGAAACAGTCCCCCAAATATCCAAGGGACTTTCCTACTTGCTCCATTAAAACATTGTATGTCCTACCCAGACAAGAAGCAATAAGGCCTCCTGGATCAGATGACTACCAGAATTCTCACCTAGGGAACTGCACTATAAACAGAAAGACCAAGCCCCCGCCATTTTTAGGTACCCTCTCCATCTAGCACAGGTACCAGGCAATGCTGAAAGCTGGTGCTGAGCTTGTTTCTTTTGACCTGCCTCGGGGTCCAAATTCTATCTCAAGGAAACAGCATCTTGCAGTTCTTAAAAATACTCTGAATATTTTTATCTCAGTTAAAAAGGGGAACAAAAGAAGCACATTCTGGACATGGCCTGAAACTGAGTACGATGCTGACGAGTAAGCCCTTAGAGATCAAGAGTGTATGGAGCTAGGTGAACAAGGCACAACACGGCAGAAGGGGATCGGTGGCCTGTGCCACCCTATCATGCGAAGGCCCGATCGATAGGCCAGATAATGGTGACCCTAAGATAGACTGCCAGACCAGTGCAACTTTACTACTTTTAAAACTTTCTGTGAATCCTGAATTCTGACCTTCCTGTACCCTAGTTATTTTTCTACTTTGGTCTTATAGCATAAGTTTAAGTCAACAGCTTTCTTTTTTTGCATTATGGAACACATTTTATATCTTACATGAAGGCTCTGAAGCACCCAGGATGGATGGGTACACTGATTTTTCATTTTATATGAGAATCCAATCCTTCTAGTTTCTGGTGCAGAGGACTGCTATCTGTAACAAAGGAAGCCACTGATAAGAGTCTAAAGGTTCATTTTCCTGTGGAGTTAAGAGCTTCACATCTTGCTTCTTCTCAATAACGTTTGTACTGGCACCTCCTTCTCCTTGGAAGGCCACCTGCCTCCTTCCCTTCCCTGGGAAATTCTTACCCATCTTTCTCCTTCAGCTTATATGCCCCATCTTCCCAGAAGGCTTACCATCATCTAGCAACATTGGTATGCCTGCTTGGAGTCTTGGCAGTCTCTCATTCGTCACAGACCATAGCACACTGTACTGCAGTGGTTTGTCTTCCTGCTACTCAGGAAAATCTGTGAAGATGACAGCTCTCCTGTCCTGCTCACAGTTGATTCGCTGTCTGGCACTGGGAACATAACCCATGCTTATAGGTATCTACTGAATCAAAGGCCAGACTGTATATTTCCTAGGTATACTAAAAGTAGCTATATTTGGCTACATCCCCAAACAAAACATTTCAGAACCAAACAAAATATTTTTAAATGTCCTAAAAGGAAAAATGAATTACAGGACCTCTCACCCCTAAGTGCTAACTAATTTCCATTTTCGGAGTCTGTCATATCTTTGTAAAATGTGGTTTCCTCATATAATTATCCATACATGAGTGCATTATTTATGTTACATGTTTCTAGGATAATATAGATACTGCTTGTGCAGGTATAGGTGTATATGTACACACACAGCCCCAAACGCTCGCAGAACACACAGCCATACTCACTTAGCACTGAGTGACCTGACTTGGGGACTGTCCACAAACATAACAGCCAGCAGCTGAGCTCCTAGATCTTAGGGGCCCACCCACTTGCTGGCTGCATCTCCAGCACCAAATGATGAAAATGTGGTCATAACAGCAGTTAGGTTTTTCAGCCATTAAAATGGAGATGTTCCTTTAAATAGGCCCTTTCCCGTAAAGGATAATGTCAAGTGTGAAAAATATCCCTGGGTGAGCTGCTGCCCCCATTTAGCAGATCCCAAATGGACTGTCTCTATGACACTCGTACCTAAACAGTCAGCCCCAACACCTGCAAGACCAGACGGGTTCTTTGAGAGGCAGCATACCCACAGAGAAAGAGGCTATTTTTTATGTTTCCAATTTTTTTAAAGCAACTTCACAAAGTCAGTCTCTGGATGAGGCAAACTCAAGTGGTCTTATTCCTAAAGCCCCAGAGGCAGGCTAATCACGGATATGACGGAAGAAGTCTTAAAAATAGCACTGCCATTGTACTTTCAAAATAGCAAACGAAATTCTCCTAATGTTCCAAAACAGCTCTCGAAAGGAGTCAAATAGCTTTCTCCAACTGGCAAAAGTTACAAAACAAAATAGAAATTAGATAGAAATTTAAAAAAAACTTTAAAAGCAGGGAAGCTACAAATTTAGATGAGAATAAAGTTGGCCAACATGTCAGGTCCTCATCTATAACTTTGCCAGAATATATCAGGCTTGAGTGAAAGATTTAGACTGGGTACATTTTTTTCTTTATGCTCCTGGCTTTGCAGGTATAGAAATAGTCCCTATAATAGTTTTCATACAAGCAGCAGAAAGAGAGTTAACTTCTTTCTTCCATAACCCAGAGGTCAAACTACTAACACATTACAAGAATGACTATAAAATATCTGAAATTATAGAGTAACAGCGGTCCTTAAACTAGAATATTATAGAGACTATAATGGATTATTATTTTTTTAATTCATCTGGCACATCACAACATCATTTTGGCTGTGGAGAAGAGGATACTGGAATTTTCTTCCTTCAATTCAGTTAGCATTATCCTATTCAGTTACTACTATATCTGCTTAGAAGGGAGGGGTTAAGACTATCCAAGGAATAATAAATTCAAATGTTTGCTATGTGGGAAGACATGGCTACTATACCCAAGAAGCTAGCACTTGCCACCTTAGATAAAACCAGTTCTTCCAAGTAACCCTCCTGGATACTGACTTGTCCCAAGTCATCTGTGTGAGGAGAATTATGAGGCTAAAATCAGTATCTCTCTGTATCAGGTGAGCACTTTCTCTTAATACCCACTTTCCCACTTTGAAAAGGGAGCTTAAACTTCCTGACAACCCGAAGAATGGTACTTGGAAACAAGGCGCAGTTATTGAAAGTGTTCTCTATGTGGTTGCTGAGGTCAATATGAGTTTTTTACAGCATCATCCCCTGTTGTATCACCCAGTATCCACTGCTATGGCTGTTTTCCTGAAGCAGATTCTCAAGGGGTTCTTGAGTTTTCTGTGGTTGCAGGTAGAAAGTGGAAATTTCAGCAAGCACAGAGCACCAGAGGGCAAAGGGGCATTACGCATTCAGATGAAGCGTTGGCTTTTGCCTATAACAAGAAGACATAGTGTTTATAACTTTAATAATTGACCTGGAAGCTTTGCTAAACCACAGATGGCTGGGCCCCAATTTCAGAGTTTCTGAGCCAGTAGATGTGTTTTGGATTCAGAATTTGCATTTCTAGTAAGTCCCTAAGTGATGCTGCTGCTGCTGCTCTGGGGCCCTCACTTAGACAATCACTGATACAGAGGACATTTTGGGATGGTTTGGCCTTTATCTTTTCTCTCAACACATTTCCATTTTAAAAGTGCTGTAGCCTCTCTATATGACCATCAGTTTTTACTAATACTGTGTGCTCTAGGAACATCAACTTAAAAACTGGTTTTCTAGGGAAAAACAAAAGCAGAGCAGTGACAAATTGCAAAATGAGAACTGGTAAACACACTAATGAATAAAACTATATTCAAAAGGTTGGTGTATATAAAATTTTCTCCCCTGCAACCCAGGAAAATAACTGCACTTTATTAATACAGAATAATCACATATTTACCTGCTCATGAGACTATCAACTCACTTTTTAATATAAAGAACATAATTATCACTGAAAAACAAAAATGCAGCAACAACATTATTTTTTTAAGCATGGGTAATTTTCCTCTGGAAACTTGAAATATATAGATAGGTAGATAGATAGATATAAAACAGCAATTCTAAATTACCCCCTTATATATTTTAAACTGAGCCCAATATATTTCCCACCACTTTGGAAACTGGAATTGGTCTCTAAAGATTTCCCCTTTAAGTATATTTTCACAATGTGCTGATTAAGACAGTGCAGTTGTTTCCCATTACTTATAATGAGCATTTTAAAATAAGCTACACAATTCTAAAGTGAATTAAGTTGCTTACCTTTGAGCCTCGCTCATTAAAAATAATTTCAACATCTAAGATTTTACCAAATTGCTGCAAAGAAATAGAAATATTTTATAAGCAAGAAGAGAAATGAAGTAAATCACATTATGCACACTGGTAATGGTACCCCATGTCAGTCTTTTAACAGACAAGGATATACATTTTATTTTGTCCTATCATTAAACAATGCATTTGAAGCAAGAGAAAATAAAATCACACATATTATTTCCATATTATGGCATGCTCCACCAAATGAGATATCACAGCAGGGGCCTGGTACAAAACAGGTAATCAAGAGGTTAATTCTGTCTGCCTTCCTTCATGTGTATAGGATTGCTTTCCCAGGCACTGAGCAACAAAAATTCAAAATGTCTAACGTATATGCCGACCCTCCTTGGCTACTCCACTAATCACTGGAAAAAACCTTTGAAGAAGTGGGATTAGGGTAGTAAAATGTCCGAATAAAATATGATGTTGAGGATTTTAACTCCCAGCCCCCATAAAAGCTAGCAGCAGCCAGGTTGTGTAAAACAAGTACAAACAGATGAAAGCAAGACCCACTCTACGGGCACCCATCGAATGAAGACACCAGCACAGTTGTGATCAGTCCTCAGGCTGAAATGTACTTCTCTCCAGATGATTCTCCGTGTTGTTAAGCAAACAAACAGATTTCAGACAATTAGCACGAATGTGCTCCATAAAAAGCAAAAGTAACTCCATATATTCAAGTCTACGAACACAATTTCAGATGACAAATAAATTGGACAGTCATATATCATACAGTTGCTTAATTAAATTTAAATTTCAAGTTTTAAAGAATAATCATACCCTGAAAATAACAATATTGGGGATATACTCATAATTAATAAAATACTTGCTACGTAAAATTCAAATTCAACTATTGTATCTTTTTCTTTCTTTTCCTTTTTTTGCTAAATCTGGTAGTACTTGTAAGCAAGGATATGAAGCAATTCTTGATTCACACTTAAAAAAAAGAAAAAGGGAACATGGATCCTGAAACCAGAATCATTTGATAATCCAAAGTCTTCCTTAACCTTGAAATCCTGTCAGTTTTCTTCAACCACATGATGCTGAGTGGGCTGGGAGAGAGTGGCATAAAAGTAGGCAACATGGCCCAGGAAAAAATAAAATGGGAATTTTACCCTGATGCAAAATGAGAGCAAATATTCATGTTAGTGATTAGAAAATAAACAGGACAACATAAAAAAGAAATTTCCATTCCTTTTTCCTTTGTTTTGAGCTTTCCTATTGTTTCATTTGCTTCTGCAGCCTCAATTGTTATTGCATTCTTTATTACCCTAGGAGATTCTGTATTCCGTCTCTCCCCCCGGGTAAAAAGCATGAAGCAGCCTCTCAGGGGACAGAATGGTTTGGGGGGGGGTAAAACAGAAAAGAAACAATGTGAACACAGATTATTGAGGGCAACATCCTGACCAGCAAGCATCAGTCATAGAATGCTGGTATGCCCTGAGAGTGAGTGTCAACAGAGTCCTACTAAGATTAAAAAAAAAACTTATTTGGAACATATAGAGGCTATCCTCTGAAACATACAAATTAATTTACCTTACTTAGAAAGACAGAAAAACATATGCATACTTTGAAATGGAAGTTCTTACTATAAGAAAAAGAAACCCAAAGCTTATGTCATCCTGTGCCACTGAAATGTGGCCATTGCTCAGAATATGTACCCACCAAGGAGATCATAGACTTGAATTTTTCTTATTGAACAGAAGTGCTTCTTTATTTCCCAAAGAAGGAGAAGGACAGGAAGAAATCAAAAAGAAAAGGTTGAACTGAAAGAGGAGATGAAAGGACGCTAGCATGTAGAGGCACACCTCAGAGATATTACAAGTTTACTTCTACACCAGTGCAACAGAGCAAATATCACAATAACACAAGTTACACAGATTTTGGGGTTGTCCTAGTGCATATAAAAATTATGTTTATACTATAATGTAGTCTATTAAGTGCACAATAGCATTATGTCTAAGAAATATACATGCCCTACTTAAACAAAATTGTATTGTCTAAAAAAATTCTAACCATCACCTGAGCCTTTTGTGAATCATAAACTTTTTGCTGGTGGAGGGTCTTAACTTCAGTTTGTAAAAATGTCCTGTCTGCAAAGTACAATGCAGCAAGGTGCAATAAAACAAGGTCAGCCCGTATAATGGAAATACCAAGAAACGTGCAGCTAACTCACCCTGCAATTTCTGGACACTCAAATAGTCTTTTGGTCAATAGAATATTCTTCTACAGAGCATTCTCAGTGCCCTAGATTTGAGCAGAGAAAATCATTAAAAATAGAAAAAGAAAACTTTCAGATTTGGGGAATGAAGGGTTTGCCATTGAAAGGTGAACTAAATTTCATAGTAAAAAATCCTCCAGCTTTGTGGACTCCTCAGAAGCAGTAATTTTGATATAACCTTAGAAGAGCCAGCTCACACAGATGCTATCATATGTATTTCAGGACTAAGAGCCTGAAAGCACACACATTTATGAATAGAAATACTTGAAAAGGAATTCTTCCAAAACCATGAAGCACATGTCCTCTACTGAACATTCTCTAAGCAGTCAACACAAAAACACTTCTTTTAAAATGAAATCTGGTTGAGAAAGAACCAATCAAAAAGTAATCTTAGCATGTGTCTTTTACTAAATGAAATGATGACACCATATGCCCCAAGATGGTCTCAAATGTTTGCCTCTTTTGGCAGCTGCCTTGGGCTGATGATTCTCAAAGCCAAGGAAACGAGCCTTAAGAAGAATGCTGATGTCAGCCCCATTTCTGAGTCAGTTGTGTACTATATTTATAGTATCAACAGTTTAATTGGGAAGTTTGGTTCTAATGATGTAAACACAGCTGGCACATTTTCAGTTTAAATAGACACGACTCATTCGCAGACATAACTAGCATTTGTTTGCTCAACACCAATGTTCAGTAGTGTTCAACAATGTCTCAGAATCCACTCAAGGTGTCTCAATGGTTGTGTCAAGAACAAAATCCAGGAGCTTACAGGTACGCACATGGGCAAATATGTACCAGGCCTGTGTAGACATTCTCACATCAAATATTTCCCTGTAAAACTGTGCAAGATGTTCAATGCATACAGTATGAAACATGAAAGTGAAGGTTAGTGCAATGAGTGTGCAAAGAGGCTAAGAAAATGCATCACCTGAGTTTTCTTGTGGTTGACTTCATATTTAGAATGCAGACATAGGAGGCACCATGTGGAACCTAAAAAACTGGCTTCACAACTTACAACATCACAGTAGATGGAACTCTGGCATTAACATTAAAGGTACAGAAATCTCCAGTACTCTATTTTATTACTGAAAAAGTGATCACAAAAACTTCTTTTGCATCTTCTGAAAGTCATGTGATCTGTTTTTTGGGTGACCATATAAAGAGATTTCAGTAGATCATATTTACACCCAATGAGTATGTATTTTCATAAAAAAAGCAAGGCTGTGACCTCAAGGATATTGTGCAAATTTGAAACCTGAACTCACTGAGCAGTTGTTTCTGAAACAATTCTACCATGGAATGTGTTATATCAGTGGTCTGGATGTATTATAATCAATTATCTCTTCCCAAACCCAGAAATACTTAAATTTTTAATAGGGTAAACTAAGCTTTTCATTCAAGAGCAATATATTATAATTAATGTGGTAAAAATCCATATATTCTTCTAATAGGATCATAAGAATTCAATGTAAAGGAAGTACAGGATCATGAATGATCTCCAAAATGAAGATAGAGCTCAAGAAGAAAGTAGCCAGGCTAGAGCCAATGATTCCTTCTAGTGAAATATCCAGGACCAATCCCATGATTGCATACTAGATCCATTCACTCAGACCCCAGCTGATGCTTTACAAAGACTACTACTTCGGATAGTACAGCCACATAACTGCTTGACCAAGAAATGCTCCATCTTAAAAGAAATAAAAAAGCAAATCTATAATGAACTAGAAGAGCTAATGACAAACACTGAAAGAAGTATCTCTGAAAGAGGAGAAAGCAAACAATACGAAGTGCATGTGGAAGAAAAGATAAGCAGAATGGCAATGAAGAGGCACTGAAGCCACAAATTAAAAATAAAACATGGGGCACTTGTGGTAACCATTAGGCCGGCAGAGGTTGCCAACTTCATGACTGGATTATTAATGGTTACAGAAGTTGTTATGAACACTGCTGGGTTTTAGGCAGTTGGAGAAAGGAGGCTGATTTTTGTCTTGTGTGTTGAGTTTGAAATCTCCCTGGCCATATTTAAGAAAAGAGACAAAGGGGAAAAGCACAGAGATTTTTCTGCAGCTTTTTCTCCATCTTCACTTCTGCAAAGCAAAGGGACAATGGCAAAATATACCACCAAAAGGAGAGAAGATAACTCATGTCAAAATGACTTGGAAAATACCAAATGGGAATTAAAATGTAATTTATTCAAGTAAGTATGACCTGAAGGAGGAAACCATGCTAAATTCTCTCAGCTGGGGTGTGGGAAGCCAACCAGAATGTTTACAAATGCCTTTCAACGTGATTCATGCCACTAAATGTATCATATAACCAGAATGGGTTTGCCACCACTGATGTTTGGCCAGGGAAATTGATTTTTTTTCTTTAGTGTTAAAATTCCATTTCTCCAGAATGATGGTTGTAAGCCAAGGATGCCTCAAAATTGTTGCAGAGTCCAAGAATCCATATGTGCCCAATAATTTTTATGGATGAAACCCATAAAAATAGTCTTGCATACTTCTCTAAATGGATGCAGATGATGTTTGAGATAAAACTAATTTTAATATTGCTAAATATATGTTGTGTTTTCTTAATTCATAAATATTAAGTATATTTGTCATCTTGTCAAATTGATGTCTAATCAGTAGCTTAACAATTTTGACTTTTACAAAAAGTGGCTGTGAAACCAGTAGATTTTGATCAAGGTTTGACAACTGCTAGTATGATCAATCTTTTGGCAAGATTTTGCTCTGTGGCACCTGCCCTACCCCTGTAAGAGTGGAGAGGCTTACATATTCAGACACTCATGAGCTGATCTGTGGGAGTTCTGGCTGTGAATATTTTGAATGCCTCTCCAACTTAGCAGTGTTGCTCTCCTATAACTTTCGAGATAACCCAGGAGACCAGGGAGTAACAAGCACCCTCAGAGGTGGGAATTAGGGTGTGCTGCAATGAGTGACACCATAAAAGAGCACCAGATAGTCATCAAAAAGACCAGATTCAAAGCCAACATCCCAGTGACACTTGATGAGTAAAGATGGACTGAAAAGCAAGATGTCTTCCTAACTTGATGTGGCAAAAGGAATCGAATTCCTCTGGCTTCCCATCACTCAAACAAGGTCTCACTGCTTTATACACACTTAACCTCCACTTTAACTTTGAGTGCTCTGCACTTTTCAAAGTCATCTTTGACCTGAAAGTGCCCGAGGGTATCACTGCTCTGCAAGAGTTAGAGGGCTCAACTCAAGGTTATTACCAAATGAGAGAGATGAAAGTGCAGTAGCTGACCTTTTCCTCTGAAATGTCAGGATCCAAGACTGGGTATCTTAAATATTAGGACGCTTGTTCTGCTTTTGTGTCAGATGTGCACTTGATAAACATCATGCATGTTAAAGAAATAAAAGGTGCAAGCTAACCCCATAGTTGCAGAACAATGAGCCAGTACTTCCTTTTTCATATGGAGAATGAAATCTACTTTGCCCAGAACTAGGCATTAAAGTTGGGCTTTTTCTTATTCCTCTTGTCTTATTTGCATCCATCTAAAAACTCTCAGAAGAATCCCCAGACAGCCAACCTAAGTCAAATGTTAAGAATGTAGTTCTGTTCATTGAATCCACAGATATTCCCGCCGATGCTGGGGTGGACTGGGCAAATAGATTGACTACATTTATAAACATGGATAATATCCAAGCCCATCATAGCTATGCCCTTGGTCAAACTGAGCCCAAAGAAATGGCAAGCTCATCCTTTCCCAAGGTAGATAGTGCAGACATTGTCTGACTCATGATGTCTCATGAGGAAACAACCCTATCATTTATTTTCCCTGGATTAGTGGTGACTTCTGGTTGCTTCTGCATTTCACCATGGTGCCTGGACAAGATTGTTATTTGTCACATATAACGTCACAGTAAGAACCTCTGACTCCTCATCACTGATTCCAGGAGGATACATACTGCAGGATGCAAGTCAGACTTAGAAATCTCTAGCTTTTGTTTTGTTTTGTCTTTTAATAAAGCTTTAGGCAGAATTAATTATTCTCCACAGCTGCACCTGACATCTCAGTGCCTGGGAAAGAGGAAGATATGCAGGGATATGTCATGATAATTTGGCAACTGCAATAGAGAGAAGCACCAAGATGAGGCACAATGTTTGTTTTAGCTGTGGCATGGGGTCCATGCCCCTCAACTTGGGACCATCAGTGGTCTTGTTTCAACAGTGTGTTATCTGGGAGTTAATTTTCCATTTGATATTTACTCTACTAATAAGCAGGAGACCACTGAAAAAATGGAAACATGGTGGGCATATGCAAAGATATTCATACTATAATCATAAAGAGATCCTAACCACCATATATTCACAAAATAGGATCTAAAATCCCCCCTTTTTACTTTGTAAACATCTCGCCCTCGAATTATAAATGTCAAGAACTTACATAGAGGGAAACACTCTGGGGAGCCCAGACCAGGCACTGCAGAGGAGCAAGTCAGTACTTACGCCAAACATTTGTCGGAGGTCCGGATCTCGGAACCGGAAGGGGATGTTGGAGACATGCAGCCGCTTGGGCTGGGACTTGTTTTCTGAGTTTTCGGAAGGTTGTGTCTGGGGCTGGCCATCCGTGGGCGCTGCGTCATCTGTCTGCTAAAAAATTGAGAGCAAAACATAGAGGCTCTGAGTAGACCCAAATTCTCTTTTTCAAAATGCTTTGGCATCCCCTGTATGGTAGGAAAATGCCAGAACAAAGGAATAAGGGTAGGAAAGAACTGCTGAGTTGTTTTCATTCATTCAACCAATGTTTTTTGCACTCTGCCCATCATGGATCTGGGATTTAGCAGTGAGCAAAGCAAATATCCTTGTCCTCGTGAAGCATAATTCTCACAGGGGAGACAGCCAATGAACTCGTTAATAAATAAATATGGAGCTGTCAGGGGAAGATAAGCACTGAGGAGAAAGTAAAGCAAAGTAAAGTGCTAGCTGGTGCTGGGGGATGGGGTGAGGGCACCCAGAGGAAAACATCCTCAACAAGGGGATGATACTGATAAAACTGGGGGGCATATCCCTTAATTAAGGCTGTTCAAATCTTAAGGTATGCCTACATAATTGTTAAGGCTATGCAGATAAAATATTAGTAAATATACTAAAACATTTGAAAAGGCTGTTTGGTATTCTGTAGTCCAAATAATCATCTGATTGACTTAATTTTTTTATGGTTTGAACTTGTTTCTTAATTGTGTAGACCTACGCTGTCCATTAGAGTTTACTACCTGTGGCTATTTAAATGTAAACAAATTAAAATTAAATAAAGTGTAAAATTCAGTTCCTCATTTATACTAGCCAAATTTCAAGTGATCAATAACAACATGTGCCTAGTGGCTTCCAAATTGGACAAGTAGATACAGAACATCTCTATCACTGCAGAACTTTCTATTACACTAAGTCGGTATAGAGAATGTTACATTATTGACATAACTCATCTGCTTCCCATTCCATCCCTCCCAAATAAGAGCCTGGATAACATGCTACTACATTGACATCCATATATAGGCAGGAACTAGGAAAAAAGTCACAATAACATTTATTATCATTGTCACCATTCCCATACTCTCAGTCCTAGAATTTAAACATTTCAGAGATGCTTCATTTTTAGATACTTTCCCTCCACTTAACACATACTGCATACAGGTGGCAGTAGATGCCATCCACATCAGGCACTTGCTTCTCGGAAACCAAGATGAAAATCCTATGTGGAAGCCCATCAAATTTATGAGCAAAGAATTGTCCTCACCTACTTATAATCAATTTAAAAGCATATAACTGAGAAAAAAACTATCAATGCAGGCAGCCAGGTGTAAAATAATAAAGACAATTTTACAGAGTGAAATATATACATGCCAAAATAACTTGAGCATAATTGGCAACTTTCTCGTCAGCCATTGTATTAACTGGCAGATTTCATTTATTATTTCATTATTCTCATTCCTATATACTCTGAATTGCATTTTGAAGTCAAGACCTCCAGTTGACTGGTACACTACTTTGAAAGCTGGGTTCGTATCAAAAGTCCTACGAGATGACTTCTTCTACTTCCAAGTGCAATGTTATGATGGCAATGACAATTTGCTTATGCTTTCAGAATAAGTAACAAGGAGGATGGAGGTAGTTTTCTAGTCTGGAAAATTAATGATAATAATGCCATATGCCTTATAAGGCACTGTGAAGACTGAACAAAGTAACATACTTCTACTCAGCAGAGTTCTTGGCACGTGGTATACAGTCAATAATTGAAATGTAATACATTTTTAGAGTGACGATTTTTAAATGTCGAGAGACGTAAAAAGCCTCCTTTATGAACCATAAAGGAAAGGTTCTCATTGGCTTATTAAATACCTCTTTACTGAGCAATTACTCTATGCTAGCCATTGAAGTAAGTCCTCCAAATCACATATAGTTCTCATTTTATTACTAGATAAAAAGTTAAAGTCAACTGTTATATACACTGTTAAGTGCTGGGAGGAGAGTGAATCACGGAGGACTGAGTAAACTTAAATCAGGGACACACAGCACAGTTGGAGTTTCCACAAGAATTGTCAATTCTGTAGGTTGAATCTTAAGTGAGAGATGTCTAAGAGAAGAGGTGAAGGGGACTGACACTGATGGAGGTGGCAAAGCATATGCAAAGACTCAGAGAGGTGAAACCATGTCTGGAGTCAGGGGAGTACATGTGGACCTTACTGTCGCTGTTCATGGAGGTATGCATGAAGAAGGAGCAGGGCAGCACATTGTAGAGGGAGGTAGGGGGTTGGAATATGAAAAACCCTGTGTGTAGAGCAAGAGTATAAATTTCATTCTACAAGATATGAGGAGCCACCTAAGTATTGTAGCAGGGTGACATGAACAGCTTATGAGCCATGGTAGACAAATGACAAATGCATGTTTAATGGCTGGCTGACTCACTGACTAAATAGGTGAATGGATGATGAGCATATGAAAAAAGTAAAGGAGTGAATGATCAACCTTGCCACCTTCAAATGATTGTTGAAGAAAAATATTATAACATTGATACTCAAACAGACCAGGAACTGTTTTCTCTGCAGTAGTGATATTTGGTTACATGTCCATGAGATGCAAATGACCTTGAATCACAGAACTGTCATTTTCAGAGGGATCCGGAGTCTTAGTACTCTTAAGTTTCCAGAAGCAGCAGCTCAGACAGAAACTTCCAGTCTACTCATTCCTTCCTGTTAGCAGTTGTTGTTCAAATGCAAATTACAGCAAGCTCCTTCTTATACCAAGAAAGAAACTTACATTTGGATTTGTGCATAACTGCTGGATGTTTCAGTGTAATAAACCTAATTAGGAATTACAGAGATTATGATTAAACATATTAAATGATTAATAGCATTATGCCGCTCATGTGAAAATTAAAATTAATCATCTTTAGTCAAATAGGACTTTGGAGAAATCTTTGTGTTGTTTCCTTTGATAAAAACATACAAGGCTCAATTAATCATTGTGTAGTGTGCACATGTATACAAATGCCCATAAATTGTTGTGTAGGAATACCTGTGTGTTTAAAGTAGTTTTTAAAGATAACATGTAAACTTTTTTAAAAAAAAATGTGTTTCAGACATTGTGGGTGAATGGAAAAGAAAGGATGTCAGAATGCAGAGGCTGAGAAAGAACAACACAGAAAAACACTTTTTCATTCTGAGCATGACTGGTTATACAGTGTGATTTAACATAAAGTGCTAGATTGTGGTGAGGACCAAATGAAATAAGAAGTGAACAAAACAGCTACTACACAGCCTCAAGCACATTTCAGGGTTAGACCGAAGGGAGTGATCATTACTGACTCTTCTATTGAATTTATTGGGGTGTGAGCTTTCTCTGTCCTTTTTTCTGAGGACTTTCAGGGAAAACATATTCAGAACATGCCTGTGCTTCACATCTTTCTATTAGTCTCCTAAAAAATGATCACAAACTTGGTGGCTTAATGTAATAGAAATTTATTCTCTCAAGTTGTGGGGGCCAAAATATACAAAGAAGTTGCCTTCAGGCCCATGCTTCCTCCTAGGAGGGAATCCTTGCTTGCCTCTTCCTACTTCGGTGGTCTCTTGACTGCCTCTCTGCAATGTCTGTCTTTATGGTCATATGGCCTCTTTCCCTCTGTGTGTCTAAGACTCAAATGTCCCTCTTCCTTTTCCTTCTTATAAGGACAATAGTCATTAGATTTAGAGCTCCCTCTAAACCCAGAATGATCTTGTTTTGGGGTCCTTAGTCACATCTGTAAAGATCCTTTATCCAAATAAGGTCACATGCACAGGTTTATGAAGGTCAGGACATGGGCATATTTTTTTTCAAAGCCACCATTAAACCAGGACATGACATATTCTTTTTAAAGCCACCATTAAACCCACGAGTCCCCTATAAACAAACCACAGGTGGATGTAGAATGAGTAGCTGATATCAAGGAGTGAATGCATTTCCTACCATGTCAGGCAGAATGAGTCTCTCAGAAGTGTTGGCTTCAAACCAGGTCCAGTGGAGAGGAGAATGTTCATTTCAGTCAGAGCTGCCCCAGGCTCCCTTCTGTCACACTGGTCACTTTAATGAGCTCCAAAAATAGATAGGAAACTTGAGTCTTCCCTCGACCCGTCCAGGCTCTGCATCAGCCACTGGATGCAAGGATGCTGGGACGAGAAGCTCTCCACCAGCCTTCCAAAGCCATCAATACTCTCTAAGGATGAGGACTTGTCTATAGGTTCCCTGAGCTCAGCACTGCATGTCACATGGATGGACTAAGCCATCACAGTATCCTTAAGAAACTTGTTGCATTTTATGGCAAAGACACAGTGTGAAATCTCTAAGGACAAAAATAAAATGATGTGAAAAAAGCTAAGAAACTTGCTTAGGGGACCAAAAAACATCTAGAATGTGTATTTCTGAAAGACACAGACTGCCTGGTTGTTAGGTGCCTTCCCCAAGGCTGGTAATAATTAATTGCTGAAGGAAAAGCTCTTAATTGATCCTATCTGATTTTTAAAAGTAATTTTGGCTCTAAATGAGACCCAGATGAGTTGGGAACCAACCTCACACCCAGGTTTGGGAGATCAGGTCTCTGCCCAGACATACCCATCAAAGAAGTTGTCCCCAGCCCCATTATCTAAACCAGATGCATCAGTGTCTCTGTTGTCCTTGCCCACTGATTTTTTCCATAGCACATACTTCTTACCTCTATGTTACAGGCTTCTGTGAATTTGTATAGTGTCTGTCTTCTCCACCAGAATACCAATTCCAGGAGAGCAGAGACTGTGGAAGTGTTCACTGTTCTATCTCTATTCACTAGAGTAGAGTTTCTCAAGGACAGAACTGTTGACATTGTGGGTTGGTTAATTCCTTGATGTGGGCCTGTTCTATGCACAGTAGGATTGCAGAAACATCGCTGGCCTACATCCACCAGATGCCAGTGATATACTCCTGAGTTGGAATGACTAAAAATATCTTCTGAGGTGCAAATGTTCCCTCACGGGGAAGGGCGGCAAAATTGCACCAATCGAATCTGCTAACCTAGAGTACGTGGTAAGTTCTCAAATAAGTTTCTCTAGCATAAACAAATAGGTTTGGTTTTGCTATGACTGAGC